GTTCCAATTCCTATAGGATTCATTATATTTACTTACATCCAAATACCCTTGGAAGAGGTATAAATACCTCTCTTGTACCCCAACTATGGATCAATTAGTAAAACTTGTATCACTAAACCATTACCTCCAAAAAACAAAATTCTTACAATCTAAAAATATTTCCTGGCTTTAAATAACCTGTAAAGGGTTGATAAGCTGTTAAAAAGGAATCAATCAATCTTTTCTCATTGTGTATCAGAAACTACCTCACTTTCACATGGATATCCAGTATAATGCCAAACTCATTCCAAAATATCTAATCTGTCAGCTGTATATAATCACTTTCTCAAATCAATGGTTAAAGTTGGCTTCAAGCATATGAAGCCTATAAGTCTTGGCAAGGTCCATTCTTCTTTGAACCTGGTGCACTGGTGCTCTAGAATCACAAAGAACTGTACCAAATAACAGAAACCACATTACTTGAGGAATTTCAAAAATAGCAATAATTAAAATAGCACATGTAAATTGAAGAGGAAACCATACTCAAAATGTTGACATTTCACACAACTTCAAACAAAAAGATAGCTAGGAAGTGCCCATCATTACTGGAAAGAGCAATAACAATTAGTGGACTTGAAAAACTTTATAATAGATTTTATACATTTCAAATGAAAGCGGCACTGGCTATACAGTCAATGAATGCGAAATGTTTCTTCATAAAATAGCTAAAATTCTGAGGAGAGTGCTCATTATTAATTCATTTCCAGTATAGATTACTGTCACTATTGATGTGAAAACTCAGTTGAAACTTTCTGGACAGTAACATTATAAAAGATCAGAGAGGATATGAAGATATTGAGGAGTCTTGAGATCTCTTGATTTTTAACAAACCCCCACCAAATATGATTGATATAAAAACTCACTAAATAATAATAATAAAAATAATACAGTGTAACCCGGATATAAGAGAAACCCGGATATAAGAGAGATCTTCTCTGGTCCCAAATTAGAGCCTGTGTTAATGTATATAAAATAAACCAAACCCGGATATAAGAGAAACCCGGATGTAAGAGAGATTTTCTCTGGTCCCAAATTAGAGCCTGTGTTAATGTATATAAAATAAAAACCGGATATACCAAACCGGATATAAGAGAGATTTTCTCTGGTCCCAAATTAGAGCCTGTGTTAATGTATATAAAATAGACCAAACCCGGATATAAGAGAGATTTTCTCTGGTCCCAAATTAGAGCCTGTGTTAAAATAGACCAACCCCGGATATAAGAGAAACCCGGATATAAGAGAGATTTTCTCTGGTCCCAAATTAGAGCCTGTGTTAAAATAGACCAAACCCGGATATAAGAGAGATTTTCTCTGGTCCCAAATTAGAGCCTGTGTTAAAATAGACCAAACCCGGATATAAGAGAAACCCGGATATAAGAGAAACCCGGATATAAGAGACTTCTTCTCCGGATCCGACAACTCTCTTATATCCAGGTTACACTGTATATTATTTAATCAAAGTTCCATCAGTGTAACCCGGATATAAGAGAGATTTTCTCTGGTCCCAAATTAGAGCCTGTGTTAATGTATATAAAATAGACCAAACCCGGATATAAGAGAGATCTTCTCTGGTCCCAAATTAGAGCCTGTGTTAATGTATATAAAATAGACCAAACCCGGATATAAGAGAAACCCGGATATAAGAGAGATTTTCTCTGGTCCCGACAACTCTCTTATATCCGGGTTACACTGTATATTATTTAATCAAAGTTCCATCAGTGTAACCCGGATATAAGAGAGATTTTCTCTGGTCCCAAATTAGAGCCTGTGTTAATGTATATAAAATAGACCAAACCCGGATATAAGAGACTTCTTCTCCGGTCCCGACAACTCCGGGTTACACTGTATATTATTTAATCAAAGTTCCATCAGTGTAACCCGGATATAAGAGAAACCCGGATATAAGAGAGAATTTTCTCTGGTCCCAAATTAGAGCCTGTGTTAATGTATATAAAATAGACCAAACCCGGATATAAGAGAAACCCGGATATAAGAGACTTCTCCGGTCCCGACAACTCTCTTATATCCGGGTTACATTGTAAAGTGTAACCCTAGTATAAGAGACCCGGATATAAGAGAAACCCGGATATAAGAGAGATTTTCTCTGGTCCCAAATTAGAACCTGTGTTAATGTATATAAAATAGACCAAACCCGGATATAAGAGACTTCTCCTCCGGTCCCGACAACTCTCTTATATCCGGGTTACATTGTAAAGTGTAACCCTAGTATAAGAGACCCGGATATAAGAGAGATTTTCTCTGGTCCCAAATTAGAACCTGTGTTAATGTATATAAAATAGACCAAACCCGGATATAAGAGAAACCCGGATATAAGAGACTTCTTCTCCGGTCCCGACAACTCTCTTATATCCAGGTTACACTTTATTAACATTTCTGCTATTGTGGTTGTACAAATCATTACAAAAATTATATTGTTGATGTATATACATGTTTTCACAACAATGAAATGTCAGACACTAACATTTATATTATAAACTAACTTGCACTTAGTACTATTTCCAAAACAGCATAGGCAGAGTAGTGTAAAATGCAACCTGTTTTGTTATCTATCTAGTCTATATTTCTGAGATAAGGTTTTGGCCGTTCTATGCTCCAGCCTTCTTCAGGTGATATATGTTTAGCTTTATGAACCAAAACCTTTATTTAATCCAATGGGGTAGATTGTTCTAGTTTCACTTGATATGCCTATTCTGGAAATCTCACATGACCCAATGGATAAAAGCGTTGGTTGAAGTAATCCAAAGGTGACTTGATTCAAAAATTTATGAGTTCAATACCTGGCCACAGCAGAGGTGAACAAAAAAAAAAAACTCAACAAGTTGAGTTATTAAAGTGAATTAACTAAAAATTGGGATATCCAGAAAAGGCATGTGGGACTAAAACACTCTACCCCAGTGGACTAAATAAAGGGTTCAGTTCAAAATTCCAATGTATATCCCCTGAAGAAGACCGGAGCATACAATGGACGAAATGTTGTGAATATGACAATAAAGATAAGGACAACAATCTGAACAATGTAAATAGTATAAACTGTTTTGTAATGTATTTTGATTATATTGTAGTGTTTAGATTGGATACTCTGCAGTACCAACAAATCAAAACCAAAATAACCATGCCAATGAGAAAACACCATCAGCATTGTTATAGTCATTTACTTCCAGTAAATGTCAATTACCTCTTTCTTTTTCCCCAAAACAAGCCAGCACAGCCAGGCAACAATGTTATAACAATGCAGCAGTTTAAGTGTTGATAATCATTACTAGTTTATCTGTAATTTCTGTCTGAATTTCTGGTATGAGGAGACATTATTATTTATACTATGGTTCTCATTTTTCTTGTTATCATCATTACAACATTTCAACCATTTTACCCTCCAGCTTGTATGTTACCTGGATCAATATACACCTGATGAAGACCAGATTACACAAAGGGCAAAATATTGTGATAACAACAATAAAGATGAGGACAATAGTCTGCATGTAAACAATGGAAAAAAAAAAGAAGATTCATCTGTGTTTAAAAATTATGTCAATTTTAAGATTTTGATATAAGTAAAACACTTGCAAAATTATCTATTTATCTTCAAGTTCAAAATAATTTCAGACATATGATGGTCAGCTAAAAAGATACTCTCATGGAATGTGACCAATTGAGGTTTATTTTTCAACATAGTCTCTCTTGCAATCCACACACTTCTTCCATCAGTGTTGCAGTGCTTGGACCCACTGGTGAAGTCGCTTTCAAAAAAGCTATCAACAGCAGTTAGGATGTGATCATCACTGCAATACTGGCTCCCAGCCAAGTGTTTTATTTCATGTTGGAGAACAGATGATAGATGGAGCCAAATTAGGAGAATAAGGAGGGTAATCAACCAGTTCAAAGCCACAGTCATGTACAGCAATCATTGAAACCAAAGACTTGTGCACTGCAGAGACCTCTTATGTCAGTTTCCCTGGGCATTTGGTCTTGATAGCCTTTCATAACTGCCTCAATAAGTTGGCATAGTGCTCTCCATTGATGGTGTGGCCCTTTTGAAGATAGCCAATAAACAAAATGTCTTTTACATCTCAAAACACTGAGGTAATCACCTTCCCTGCAGATGAAATGACCTTTGCTTTCTTTGGAGCAGGTGCAGAAGGGTGTGTTTTAACTGCATGGATGCTCTCTTTGTCTATGGCTAAAATTGATGAACCCAACATTCATCTCAAGGAGCCCAGATGGATCTGCCACAAATAATGGGATATTTTCCCATGATAGGATCAGCCTGGTGCACTTTTGATCCAGAGTCAGAAGACGTGGCACCCACCAAGCAGAAACCTTCATCATGCAGAATATTCTCAACTTTCTCATGGGATTTGCTAATAGTATAGCAATTATAGTCAATCACCATGTGGTGAACATGATCAATGTTTTTCTCAGTGGTAGCAGTTCCAGGAGATCCAGACTTAGGTTCATTTTTATAATTCTACTTTTCCCAAATCAGACCATTCAGAAAATGAAGATATATTTTCTCAAATACACATTTGGCTTTATTGAAATTTTGTAAACAGTTTTTTTTCCTATTCATGTGTATTCTCACCACCACCACACTTAAGTCCTCCTCCTAAATGAACCACATGTCTGTACATTTTATTTCTCTCATCTCCTAAATTCGGTTCAGTGAATTGAAAAAGACACAACAAATAAGCTTTTAACAAGTCATTAACACACACCAAACTAATTGAAACTTTCATGTTTGGTATTGGGAATATAATTTGGCACATGCGTGAGTCAGAAAAAAAATTTTTTTTTAAAATTATTACGCATGGGAATTTAAAAATTTTAACATTGTGTGTTGTGTTTTTGTTGTTAAAATTTAAGGATAATTTAACAGACCACCCACCACTCAGTTTTTTAACATTACCAAACATGAAAAATAAATAAAACAGGCATATTTTTAGGCATGATGAAAAGAAAAATAATTTTAGTTGCAGAAATGCACAAATCATTATTAAATTTTCACTTTCTCTAAATAATCATCTTCCACTCCTTTTTTCCTTTTTCATTTCATTTTCTATATTCTTTTCATCTTTTTTCATTTCTTTCTCTTTTACTTTTTCTCTTTTGTTTCCACTTTCATTTTCTCTTTTCTTTTCATTTTTTTTACTTTCATTTGCTTTTTTCTCTTTTCTCTTCTCTTTTTCTTTAAAAACTTTTTTCTTTCATTTTTCTTTTGTTTTGTTTTTCCTTTTTTTATTCTTTCATTTCTTCTTTTCATTCTCTTTTTCCCAGTTTTTTTTCTTTCATTTCTTTTTTGTCTTCTCTTTATAGTTTTCTTCTTTCATTTCCCCTTTCTCTCCCTTCATTTCCTCTTTTCTTTCCCTTTTTTTCTTCTCTACTAAATAGTTAAATAGCAAGTTATTTGATACTCAGTTAACAACCCCCCTCCCCCATCCACAATAGTTTTTCTTTTTGGATGTATTTTTCCCTTAAGACTTTATGCAAATGTAACTATGCCTTTGCTTCTTTCCTTATCTCATCCAATCTTGAGTGTCGGAGGATATAGTCCTCATTTTCAATGGCTTCCTCATTTTTTCCCTCCTCATCATGAAATAAAATCCCCCAACTGTGTTTCTGCTTTACACCAGTTTTATAAAGAATAAGAAAGATGCAAGAGATATCAATAATTTGAATTTAATTAACAATTAAAAATGGGTATTTCCTATCTGAGCTTAGTTCTAGCAAAAGGCCACAAGTATTGTACAGCCAGTGAGGACTGTACTCCTGATGTTATAGTCACAGTATACCAGACTAGAAAAGATCATTGGTGCTTATTTATAATAAATCGTTTAGTCCACACTTTTAATACACAATATATTGTATATTTTGGCAGCATGTTTAGTCAAATATGAGGAACAAGGAATATTTTGTAAATTTTTATTCTAATTTTCTGGTGTACTTACAATTTTTATTTTTTGAAGGCTTATACATATATTTTAAAATATTAATAATTAAAAAGTATAAATTAAGTTACCTCTCTTACATATTCTTCATGTTAATTTTTAAATTAATAATAATGAAGTGCATTTCATGCACATTTACAAAAAATTCACAACTATCAATTACATTAATTTTTTTTTGTCTTAGAAAATTCATCCCTGAAGATGATCTTGGATGAGATTGAAAGTACTTGGGAAAATAAAAGGAATGAGAAAAACTACAGCATCTTTCTTAATCAGTTTGATGACAATACTAAGAAATTTAATCCATGAATTTGAGAGGATTAAAATAAAAAGACACATGTCTAGATTATTCAACGAAACATACTTGAATGAAGATATGCTGCTTAAATATACACAGACATACACACACTCTGACACGTGTGTGTTTGTGTATATATATATATATATATATATATATAATAAGTGAACATAGAAGTCAACACTTAGAGGCGACAGTCTGTTTCGTCAGGTCTATGTTCACTTTTATATTTACACATGCTCTATCTCTGATATTGAGCACTTTATCCCATAAATATAGCGTATCGTAAGACTATATTTCTTTATATATATATATATATATATATATATAAAAATCTTATTCCACATGACATCAAATAAAAGGTTAGGAATTAAACCTCCATTAATACTGGAAAGAGCAATAACAGCTACTGGACTTGAAAAATATATTTTCTTGAAAAATTGTTTTAAGAGAAAAATTTTATAAATTTCAACCAAAAACAGTACTGGCTGCTCGATTAATGAATGCCAAATATCTCCTTGTATAGATAGAGAGCTCGATGAAATAACAGAGCAAATAATAATTATTATGAAAACGACTTTGCACATATCACTTTGAACAGACATATTTTTTTCTTCCTCTCTTCACTTTCCCTTCCCAGCCTTGAATGCATATCCCTCTTCTTCATCTTTCCCCTCCCTCCTTTTTGAATACATACCTTCCCTTTTTTCCCCTTCCCCCCCAATTTTGAATTAACATAAATTATGTAGATATTTTTATGCCTGATCAGTTATGTACTCATTTATTTTTGTGAAAATGTTTGGTCTGATGAGTTAAAACCATAGTATCTATTTTAATGAAACAAAATATTACCATGATCTTTTAAAATCTCCATTTTCATAATAATTATATAAAATAGATAGGTTAGTTAATAAAACAAGGGAAAATGAAAATGTAGCAATGTGATCAGTGTGAAAAGAATTTATTATATATTAATTGTTAATCACAAAACAGAAATGAAGCATGGAGATTAATGTTATTAGTCCAGAATTTTCACGCACGCCAGTGTCCTTCATTAGTGGTGCGAGAAATAAACAGAGAAACCAGGGAGACTCACCAATGGGTTTTTTTTTTTTTTTTTGGCTGGTGTGAACTTGTTGTGGATGGTATTATTAGTACAAATCCGATCCCTTCTTTATTCCTCACTTGCAAAACTTTTTGAGTTGGGGAAGTATGATTTTGAACGAGGGGAAGAGGCTTTTAGGATTTGTGTTAAACAAACTCTTGAAGTAGGTTTCACTGTGTCAATAAATAAAACTTTAATGTAGATATGTTATATATATATATATATATATATATATATATATATATATAAAAATTAGTTTAATACATTTTAATTGCTTTCATTTATAGCATGGGGACAAAGCAAAGGATCACTTGTTAGTTTGAATTAATTTTAGTTTAGGTTATAATTCAGTATTTTGCAACCGAGTTATTTTCATTGAAAACCAAGCACAGCTGGATATCTGTGTTAAAAACCTTTATTTATATATATATATATATAAGGAAGTCGTAATGGTGCAACTAACAAAGTCCACAGTTTATAAAACACCAGGAATAGATGAGTTAATTTCAGTATATACTTATCTGTTTTTTTTATTTTTATCGTTTCACAACTGCACTCATTCTTATGTTACTCTCATGGATATGGCTATTGAAATAGCTCTGAGCCCGTTGAACACAAGAAGGGCTTTCAGGTGTAAAATTAACTGGATTAAATAGTTTCTTAGTGCCTTTCAGAGGATGAAAAATGCAACACTAAAATCCAAAGTATCTGAATGTGGGTTCCATCAAACTTAGGCTCAAGAGTTTTAGTTAATATTCAAGCAGTAGCACCATACATTAACACCGTCTCTACAGTGGCTAGAAAGAATCTCCTCTTGAAGTTGTGTTCTGGTAGATCAGATTTCCATTATATTCAAGGCAGCCCAGGCTTTATCTATGCAAATTTTCATGTCCTTTTCATTTTGCTTCCTAGGTATGTAAAAAGATTTCATTGATTCACTTGAGACAGTTTGTATTGAGCCTTGCTGGTTGAAACCTAAAGGAATTGACATAGAGATCAACAGCATTTTCTAGATTATGTCGGAGAACTGTTGCATGGGTAATGGTGTGTGCAGTGATAGCTAGGTCATTTGCATAGTCAATTACTGCAAAATGCTTTCAGGTGTAAAATTAACTGGATTAAAGTTCATTAGTGCCCTTTGTTGTGTCATGGGAGGCTGAGATCATTATTACTAAGAGGTGACAAATCTTTTAAATGAATCGCTGCAGTGGCAGGAAAAATAATAATATATAGGTTGAGAGGTTGTTGGAAATTTATAACTTTTATAATTCTGTATTTTTCAATCAAACTATTTTAGTCAAAAAGGATTTTGTCTTTTATAGCTTATTAACCCTTTGTGGGTTATTTAAAGCTAAATACATATTTTGGATTGAAGAAGGTTGCTTACATTATCTGATGTTCCCAAGCATCTAATTACTGACTAAGCTCGTCAAGTAAAAAAGGAAAATGTCCAGCTGGATATCTACATTCTTTGTCTCTCTCTACAATTTTCTCACCTTTATTGCTCTTAATAAATTTTGTCTTTCTGTTATTTCTCCTAAACCCTGTTCCGCCATCTGTTTACTCAGGCTCACTAAATATTTTACTCATTATTTCCCTCTTGCCTTCAACCTCTCCTGGGAGTATCAAATTTTCCAAGCCTTCTTTCCTCATTATGCATCCTAGGATTTTCAACCTGTCTCTTCCTGATGTTAAGCATAAGTGTCCTTTTTGTTTCCATTTTCTATAAAACTTTGATGTTCAGTCCATAAACTATTATTTACATGTGTACACTTCAAGAGGCAGTAAGAGTAGAACTAGCAAAACCTGTTAGCACCTCAGCTTATAAGACCCCATAAATGCAGTTATATATTGTTTTTGATAATTTCTGAGTACAATGAAATTACAGGGCTATTTTAAAATTTGCAACAATTCTTGATCATATAAGTCAACTAGGAGAATATAATAACCAAAAAAAAAATACTCCATAAAGTATATACATAATGTATATAAGAATTGCTTGAATAAACTATAAAATAAAGTGTTATAAATATATCTATTTAATAGATCAGCTTTTCTCAAATGGTAAGCCTGGGTGCACTAATGCATCCTGAAAGTTAGCCAGGTATGACCCAAGTTAACAAAAAAAGTAATTTATGAAGTATTTTTATATTAAAAAAAAAAAAAAATTATTTTTACAAAGCTAGAGACAACAAGCACATGGCTTCCATGTTTTTGTCATTTGATATTTTAAACTGGATTCTAAATTCCTTAATCTTGAAGAAGGAATGAATAAATCTCTCCCTTTTGCCTTCCCCTAGAGATTTAACTCTAAAAAACATAGCAGATTCTTCATAAATCCTTTTGAATGAAAACGGCACTGCTTAAATATACAATGTAATGGCTTCAAAATAAATATCGACTTTAGGAGACATCTTTATTATCTTCCTATTTTTAAATTTCATGACTAATATTTCTTTGTTAAAATTTAAAGCATACCCCAGATTTTTAGTTATTCTACAAGTGGGCTACTAAGAAAAAGGTTGAGAAAAACTGTAATGGATATAGCGATTTTCTAAGTGCGGCTTAGATATGGCACAAGGCCGAAAGTATGGGGCACCTAGTGAGCATCAAACTCACTATTCAGTTGTAACTGATTTAGCAAAACATGCTTTCTAACCATTACACCACATCGAGGTGCCCTATACAGTAATAGACGTATAAGGATGAAAGAGACTCCATAATAAACAGTAAAGTGTTGTAGATTTATACTCTTTAATCACATATGAATACACATTGAAAAGTCAAAACAATAAATCTATCTAGTTTATTTATAAAATCATGATTAATGACGTGTATGGTTTTTCTGAGCGTTTATCACATTTACTGATTTAAATCTCAATATATTTTTAGGCATTCATTACTGGCTTTTCTGATTAAAAGTCCCAACCATCTTAATTTAATTCTTAACAAAACTGTCTCTCTT